CCTTGGACAAGTTGTGCTGGCTTCCCCGGTTTTGTGTACTGTCTTACCCTTCACCAAATTTACCACTTATCTATCGTCTATTTAGTGTTTTTTCCCTCCCACTCCTCCCCTCCCTCATAACCATCTGTCTTAGCCATCTAGTACTGCTATAACAGAAATATCACATAGATATTTTCAACAAAGAGAAATTTATTCTCTCACAGTCTAGTAGGTTACAAGTCCAAATTCAGGATGTTGGCTCCAGGGGAAGGCTTTCTCTCTCTGTTGGCTCTGGAAGAAGGTCCTCGTCATCATCAATCTCCTCTCGGACTAAGAGCTTCCCTGAACAGGAATCTCGGGTCCAAAGGATGTGCTCTGTTCCCAGCACTGCTTTCTTGGTGGTATGCAGTCCCCCTGTCTCTCTGTTCACTTCTCTCTTTTATATCTCAAAAGAGATTGGCTTAAGACACTATCTCATCTTGTAAACCTCATCAATATAACTACCACTAATCCATCTTATTACATCACAGTGATAGCATTTACAACACATAGGGAAATTATATCAGATGATAAAATGGTAGACAATCATACAATACTGGGAATCATGACATAGCTAAGTTGACACATATTTTGGGGGGACACAATTCAATCCATGACACCATCAATGATTGTTTCTTTTTTTTGTATAAACCTTTTCATGGGTTTTTACAGTAGTGGTCTCATACAATATTTGTCTTTTTGTGATTGATTTATTTCACTCAGCATAATGCCTTCCATATTCTTCCATGTTGTGATATGCTTCATAGATTCATCATCGTTCTTTATCATTGTGTAGTACTCCATTGTGTGTATGTACCATAGTTTGTTTATGCCTTCATCTGTTGATCTAGGTTGTTTCCATCTTTTTGCTGTTGTGAACAATGCTGCAATGAACATGGGTGTGCATATGTCTATTCATGTGACGGCTCTTATTTCTCTAAGATATAGTCCAGGAGTGGGATTCTTGGATCATATGGTATTTCTATTTCTAGCTTTCTAAGGAAGTGCCATATTGTTTTCCAAAGTGGTTGTACCATTTTGCATTCCCATCAGCAGTGCATAAGAGTTCCAATCTCCCTACAGCATCTGCAACATTTGTTCTTTTCTTTTTTTTTTAATTCATTCGTGCCAGTAATGCCGGGGTAAGATGGTATCTCATTGTGGTTTTGATTTGCATTTCTCTAATGGCTAGTGATCGTGAGCATTTCCTCATATATCTGTTAGCCACTTGAATGTCTTCTTTGCTGAAGTGTCTGTTCATTCCCTTTGCCCATTTTTTAATTGGATTATTTATGTTTTTGTTGTAGAGGTGGTAGTAGATTATGGAGATTAGACCTTTGTCTGACTTGTACTGGCCAAAAATTTTTTCCCAGTCTGTAGGTTCTCTTTTTACTCTTTTGGTGAAGTCTTTTGATGAGCATAAGTGTTTAATTTTTAGAAGATCCCAGTTATCTAGCTTATCTTCTGGTGTTTTTGTTTTTTTTTTTTTTTTTTTTCCTATGATCTTTATTGTTTTTGGTTTTATATTTAGATCTTTGATCCATTTTGAATTCGTTTTTGTGTATGCTGTGAGGTATGGGTCCTGTTTCCTTTTTTTGCTGATGGACATCCAGTTTTGCCAGCAGCATTTGTTAAAAAGACTGTCTTTTCCCCATTTGGTGGACTTTGGGCTTTGTGGAAGATCAGGTGACTGTAGGTGGATGGATTTACATCTGGGTTCTTAATTCTGTTCCATTGGTCAATGTATCTGTCCTTGTACCAGTACCACGCTGTTTTGACTACTGTTGCTGTATAGTAGGTTCTGAGGTCAGGTAGTGCAAGTTTTCCTACTTTATTCTTCTTCTTCAATAGTGTTTTACTTATCTGGAGCCTGTTTCCTTTCCATATAAAGTTAATGATTAGTTTCATAGAAGAAAAAATAGGATTAATGCTAGAGGTCCTAATACATGGCATTAACAGGATACAAACCACAACTAACAACACACAAACTCCAGAAGATAAGCTAGATAACTGGGATCTTCTAAAAATTAAACACGCTCATCAAAAGACTTCACCAAAAGAGTACAAAGAGAACCTACAGACTGGGGGAAAAAAATTGGCTATGATAAATCAGGCTCAGAGCAGGACAGGGTCCTGAATGTGAGACTTGATCATAGTATCCCAACTCCCAGCCCTTCTCACTGCTCCTTACATTTGCTACTCATCTTCATCTGGTGACGTTCATGATATACAGATTCAAATATGTTGTTGACACATCCATCAGATGGCTTAAGTGAGTCCCTAGTCCTTAATCCCTCTGAGCCTTCAACGCAGGAATGTTTGCTTTGGAGGTGCTGGATGGACGTGGTAAGATTGAGAGGTTTCCAGAAGTTTCCTGGCCCTCCATTACCTGCTGCCACGTCTCCCTCATGATGGGGTCACTCTTCATTTATAAAGTCCATCCCACTGCACAATTCATCAGGAGTCCACTGACAGAGACCTTGAGTGTCTTGACAGTACACCAGAGAAATCCAGGGGAGCATAGTGACACTCTCCAATCTGTCTTTTGATCAGATGCCAGACAAAAGATCTGGTAAGTGTTACCAGTTGTAAACTGTGTAGTCCAGAACATGAGAAACAGGGACTTAAGTACTGATGGTAAATCCAGAGGTAAGGTGTTACACTGACATAGGGGACCCTGCTACCTCTTCCCTCTCTCACTCCTAGGTTGTGGTTTTCATCTTCATGCTGATAAAATGGCTGCTGAGCTCTAACCTCACGTCTGATACCCAATTAGGAAAAGAAAAACTTCTGAAAGAAGATACAACAGAAGTTATCTCTGGGAATTGATTTTTAATTTATTTTCTTTATTCTTTCCTTGTACATATCTTTCTTTTCTAGTTTATAGACTTGTCTAAAAAGATCACCAAAATTAAAATACTAAAGCAAACTGGTTACTCTACATAGGGAGGATGGCCAGGGACTGGGCTTAGAGTCTCTCCTTCATCTGTCAGGTGTCCAAGGAGAGGATTGACCCCATCAGCAGCTACCTGTTGGTCTCAGGTCCCAAGAGGGGCCATTTGCTTTGCCATTTGGGTGAGAATCCAGGAAGTCACATCGACATCTGCATGCATGACCTTGACCCATCCAGGTGTGGGGGTGTTAAGGTCCCAAGAACCAATCCTATCCCAGAGAGTACACCATTTAAGTAGAGGGTTCCAACCCAGAAGCACTGCAAACTGGACCATCGTCTCCATGTCTCCCAGCCTGAATTCATTTTGTCTGTGCTGCTGATACCACTCTTTGCCACCAACTCAGCATATGGCAACCATTTATGGAGCATTTACAGTGTACAAGGTGCTGCACCAAGTGCTTACCACAAAGCTGAGAGGAAGGCATGAGAATGCATCACCCACATTTTCCAGATGAGGAAACCAAGGCTCCAAGAGGCTGAGTCTCCCAGCTCTCTTGGGCATAAATATGACTGTGTGGCCTTGGGCAAGTGACTTCATTTCTCAGAGCTTCATATATGCTCTATAAGATACAAAGCCTGTTGTGCTCTAAGCCTTGATATAAAGTGGACATGGGTGCAATGGGTCCAAATGAGTTTCGTGGCCACCACCCCTGATTGGAGCTCTAAGGAGACTCTCTCAAAGAGTGACCCCACAACTGACTCTCTCTGCCCTGCTCCCCCACAGGTACCTGAACCAAGATGCTGAAGATCTCCAGGCTCTTTGTTCTCCTCTGTGGGCTGCTTGCCCCATCTTCTGCTCTACTGATCCTGCCCCAAGTTACTTCCCCAATCAATAATGGTGAGACTGTCCTGCCTTGGTTATGCCTGGCTTTGTCAGGCCCAATAGGCCTCTCCTTGGAGTTCAGGCCTTGAGTCAATGCCGACTAAGTTATTATTAGCACAGTGCCTAGCCCATAGTTGACACCATTAATCATTAGCTGTTCTGATCATTAGTACATTACTACTTTAATCCTCTTCCCCCAAGGGCCCCTTTTCTGTCACCTTGTACTGCACTGAGACCACCATCAAAGGATCCAGCCGTACATGGACTGGCCCCTGTCCAGCTCTCCTACCACTCCATGCACATTCACTCCCCTCCTGCTGCAGTGGCCTCCTCAACACATCACGCGCGTGTCAACCTCAGGGCCTTTGCTCTTGCTGCTCCTCTGCTGACACGCTCTTACCTTAAATATCAACATGGTTCCCTCCCTTCCTTCAGGGCTCTGTTCAAATGTCACCTTTGTAGGAAGACTGTCCTTGACCTCCCTGTATAAATTAGCATCCTCACTCCAGTATTCTCAATTCCTCACCCTATCTTTTATTCTTCCCTCATGAACATAACTGGCATTCAGCAGAATGCACCAGTAATGGCCACAGTAGATGAAATATTAAAAACTTGTTCGATGCTGTTTGGGAAATAACCCCTGCTCAGAGACTTTCCAGGTGGCTCCCCCTCACCACCCCATCCATCTTTGGCTTCACCCTCAAGACCCCAGCCTCCCCATGAGCTGAAATCTAAAGATAGCATCTGGCACAGCTAGAGGAGGCCTAGGACCAAGCTACAGAACTGTGGCTGCCGTTCTTTCTGATTGGTCAGTACCCACGCTGAAATGGTTGTTAAATATTTTGAAACTAACCCCTTCACAAGACTTCTGCATGTGACTCCTGCACATCCATTTCTTCACTGCTTTATCATCTGTTTCCTCTCATCCCCATTAGAATGTCAACTCCATGAGATTTCTGTCTTTTCTCCTCATTGGTGCATTCCCAGCCCCTAGCATGGACCTGGCACATAGAAGCCCCCTATAGAGGTTTGCTGATCATATCTGGAGCTTGGCCCAGAACCAAGCAGGCCAGAATGAATGGATGAATGAAGAGTAAGCACCACATATGGGACATGCTTGGAGGTCATGGTTGTGTCTGAGAATTGTTGGCCTCTAAATGTCTAACTGGGTTTTGGGATTTTTTTTGGCCCCATTTTTTTTTCCAGCTTTGACCCAAGAAATCCTTAATGTGGACTTTGTTTCTAGCCTGAAGACAGTTGATTTCCAGGGATCATTGAGGAATATCTTCCGCCATTCAACAGGCCTCCTGAATGCCATCGACAGCCGGCTAGCCAATGCCGCCAGCAACGTTGTGTGAGTGGTCTCTGAACAACAGCCCCTAGGCCCAGACCATCCTGGTTTGTTGGTTTGTTAGAGCTCTCTCCATGAATTTCATGACACTGCAAAGACTCCTCCCTCATCTGGGCCTTTGTTGCCCCATTTCCAAACCATTTCTAACAGTCCAGCCAGCTCTGATGACCTGAGACCCACTGGTTGCAAGTAGGGTCTTGTGCCTTTGCCTGGCCTACTCTTCCCCTGGCTATCTGTGTGACTCATACCCTCACTTCATTCACAGCTCTGCCCAAATATGGCCTTCTCTGAGAAGCCTTCCCTCACCATCCTGTCTAAAATTCCAGTCTTCCCAGGGCTACCCTCTATCTCCTGATACTGCAGGGCCTTTTCTTCACAGCACTTACCACTTGACACATTCTATAGGTCTTCATTTACTGGTTTATTGCTTTACACATACATACGCCTCCCCCACCAAGTTGTGCCATATTTGGCTTTCAGTCTTCATTCATTCACTCACTTATTCCAGCTTGCGTGGTACTGGCCAAAGGGCTGGGCATGGTCATTCTGAGATGCATTAAGGCAAGGACTTTTTTTTGCTCAGAGTTGTATTCCCAGTGCTTATAACACAGAGTCATGGTGCAATTAATTACACGATTAATGAATGAGTAACCATCTTTGCACACATTTCACTCCTGTTTTGCAAGGAAACTGCCTTGTCTCCAAGAAGGGTCCACCTGCAGTTACAGCCACAACCTTCCCCTGATGTGCTTGTTTTTTCACCCAGGGTACAGCTGAAAGACCCTCGACTCCTTCAAGTCTCCCTCCAGATATCCCCTGATAATCAAGGGATGTATTTATGGGTACCATTGGCATTTGGCTTCATTGTGAAGTAAGTAAAAACTGTGAGTGTCACAGGCTCTGTCCACTTTGACACAGGGGTGGGGGTGTGTGGGAAGCAGCCAGAAGCAAGGGCGACCAGCGTACTCTCAGTAACACACTTACTGTGTGGTTAGGGCAGGCACCCACTCTTCTGGGCCCGGGCCACCCCATGTATAGAATGAGGGGCCTGGAGAATACTAGAATATTCTTCAAACCTGGGCCTCTCTAGGGGAAGAAGGGAGGGGTTGAGAAGTTTCTTTCCCTGTTTCATCCAGAGAGCCCCCCACCTTCATTTTTTGGACCTCATGAACCCACTCAACTCTAATAAAAAATGATTCAAGACAAGAACACAGAATCTGCTCTAGACCCCAACCTCCTTGGCACCATTGCCTAAGGATCACCCCAGGGGCCATATCTGGCCCACAGGTATGTTTTGTTTGGTCTGCACAGTTTGTTTTCAAAGAAGATGACCATTCTTCAGTTCTATAGCCTTCCCCTGATTAAATTAGCCCTTGTCTACTCATTTAGATTACAAACCTGGCCCCTGAGGCAATGAAGTTTGAGACATTGCTTTCCAAGGTCAAACACAGTTTCTCAGTTTTGATGGCATGCTATGCTTAGAATTTACCTTTTCTTTTCTAACTCTCCTGGGAGAAGACGGAGGGGGTATCAGGTTATAGCCCTGAGTGCAGACCTGCCAGACAAGACACTTGCTGGCTGCATGACTTGGAGAAAGCCACTTCTGCTCTCCAATCTTCAATCATCTTTTCTGAATAATGAGGAAATGATCTTAACAGGCGATTTTGAGGGTCCTCTGCAAACATGAGGTCCTCAGGTGGCGGAAATGGTTTGCACTCAACATTAACTGATGGACTGCTAGAAGAACGAACAAATCTGTCTTGGAAGAGGTACAGCCAGAATGCTCCTTAGAAGCTAGGGTGCCGAGACTTTGTCTCACATACTTTGGACATGTTATCAGGAGGGACCAGTCCCTGGAGAAGAACATCATGCTTGGTAGAGCGTCAGCGAAAAAGAGGAAGATCCTCAACGAGATGGATTGACACAGTGGCTGCAACAGTGGGCTCAAGCATAGCAATGATTGTGAGGATGGCACAGGACCAGGCAGCGGTTTATTCTATTGTACATAGGGTCACTATGAGTCAAAACCGACTTGATGGCACCTAACAACAACAACAACATTTACCAAAAAGTTAGTGGTTTGAACCCACCAGGCAGCACCGTGGAAAAAAGGCTTGGTGATCTGCTTCCTTAAAGATTATACCAAGAAAACCCCATGGAGCAGTTCTACTCTGTAACACATGGGGTCGCCATGAGTCAGAATCAACCTGATGGCAACAGGTTTGGTGTTTGTGTGTGTGGGTGTGTGTGTGTGTGCAAACACGGGGGAGCCTTATTCTAGTACCAAATAGGAGTGTAATAAGCTGTGAAGTTCTCTGCCACCACTCTTAATTAACCCTTCCCTTCCACAGTCTCCCAGTCCTTGGTTCCTTGGCATTTCATGTGCAAACAGATATGACAGTGCAGCCTGAGGTGATAAAGGATGCAAATGGCAGATACCACCTCAACCTTAGGAATTGCGAATTATTTCCTGAGTCCTTACAGATCCAAACTGAAACTCCGCGAGTTCTCAATTTTTCTGTCTCTGGGTCCAGCTGGTTATGATGAAGCGCCGAGTGAGGTTCTACCTCAAAGACGTTAGCGGCAAAACAATACCTATAAAATTTGCCTTTTGTGTGTATGAAAATGTACATGTTATAAATAGAACTTTATATTCATTTACAATTTTGTTTAGTATAAAAGTAGTAATTTCATTGGCATGAAAAGAGGTCCACCAAATAGTAATCCTGGACTTCTAGAAACCAGAAGTTTTCCAATAATGGAAATATTTTCTTTTTTTTCATCCAACAAGAAGCCATAACTTTGTTAATGATAGAAACAGTACAAATTTCAAACCAAACTGCAGTTATTCTTTTGAAATACCAAAAAAAGTCCTCATTTCCAGATGGTTACATTGTTAATTCCATAATAGCATTTACAATATCATTACTGTTGTTCTTCAGGGCTCGGCCTGCCTTTGCTCTTGACACGTTTGCTTGTGACATGACTGATTCTGTGTCCTTAACTTCTACACCTGTTTCATCAACCTCTTCCTTGTCACTCTCCTCTTGTACAGTTGGAGTTTGTGTGTTTTCTTGAAAGTTCCAGACAGCTTCACCTTGAACTTTGAATTTCTCTGCAGCTGCTAGCTGTGCTTGCTGAGACAAATCTTCAATCTTGGCTTCTCCAAAAACTGTGTAGGTATCTGAAGGTGGGCTCTTGTAGACATCTGGCTTTGTGATGACAAAGAGGATATTCTTAGATTTCCGGATAGTGACTCTAGTAACCCCTGCGACCTGTCGAAGACCCAGTTTGGACATAGGCTTCCATGGCTTCTTTTCACTCCGACTCTGTTTTGCTTTACTGACTGGTTCTTCATCCATTTCAGCTGCTGCTGCCAGCTGCGTTTGTTGTGTGGTTGCCTGTGTGGAATCCTGTTCCTCGTGCTCTGGTACTGATTCATCACTGTCAGATTCTGTTCCAGACCCTGTCTCAGCCTGGCGTTGTGGCAACTCCTGCTCTGTTGCAGGGACAGTTTCTGTGGCTTCAGCGGGCATTTTGTGCGGGGAGTGCGGAATCAAGACGGTGGCAGAAAGAGCCCAATAATGGAAATATTTTCTTATAGTAGATTCCTAAGATTTCTTCAAAGTACAAATAGTTTTAAAGCTTTTAAGCTTTACATTGCCAAATCACTCACCAAATAGCTCGCCAATAGAACTGAACCTAGCAACGCTGTCTCTAGTTGGCCTTGTCAGTTTCACCCCACACCCAATCAGTACTGATTATTCTCATTTTCACAGCTTTTCACTAGATGGAAAATCCCATGTTTGTTACGATTTTCATGGAAGCCCTGGTGGTGCAGTGGTTAAGAGCTCAGCTGCTAATCAGACGGTTGGCAGTTCGAATCCACCAGCTGCTCCTTGGAAAACCCTGGGGGCAGTTCTGCTCTGTCCTACAGGGTCACTATGAGTCAGAATTGACTTGACGGCAATGAGTTGTTGCTTGTTTTGTTATCAGTGACAGCAAGCATTTCACTATTTGTTTGTTCATCTGTAACATTTCCTCTTCAGAGTGACTGTCTTTGGAGGTTTTGCCTTTTGTTGACGGGAGTTTTAGTATTTTCTTCTAAATCTGTCAACTCTTTTTAAAAATCTTTTTTTTAAGATTTTTTAATCTTGTCTGTTTCATTCATGAATTCTTTGTTTTGATTCATCTCTCAGTTGCTCACTGTTTCAAGGAAGATGGGTGTGGAATCCTTTCTGAACCTTTTCACATCTGGTAATGTCCTCCTGTCATGTTCAAACACAAGTGAGAACCAGGCCAGATACAGAATCCGTGACTCACAGCCCATCTCTCCCTTGGACAACTCTGCAAATGAGGCTCCCTTGTCTTCCTCTCCTCCCCCCTTTAAGAACATCTATATTAAACAAAATTTTTTTCTGGCTGCCATCTTTTTTGTGGCAAATATATATATAAATAACAAAATTTGCCATCTCAACATTTTTTACATATAGAATTCAGTGGCATTAATTGCTTTCATCACGTTGTAAGACCATCACCACTATCTGCTTGTCTTTTGATATTTTGAAGAAAACAAGTTCTTGCTTTGTAGGAAATGTGAGCAGTAGATCAGCTGAATTATAGGCAAGCTCTTTTTTTTTAATTTTTGTTTTTTGTACTTTAAGTGAAAGTTTACAGTTCAAGTTAGTTTCTCATACAAAAATTTATACACACCTTGTTATGTGACCCTAGCTGCTCTCCCTATAATGTGACAGCACACCCCTCCTTTCCACCCTGGATTTCCCGTGTCCATTCAACCAGCTCCTGTCCCTTTTTGCCTTCTCATCTCACCTCGGGACGGGAGCTGCCCATTTAGTCTCATGTATCTACTTGAGCTAAGAAGCACACTCTTCACAAGTATCATTTTATGTCCCATAGTCCAGTCTAATCTTTATCTGAAGAGTTGGCCTCAGGAATGGTTTCAGTTCTGGGCCAATGGAGAGTCCAAGGCTATGTCTCCCAGGGTCC